CAATTTGACGAATACATGTACGGTGATAATCATAGAATTATTTTGACTTCTTCCTTGGAAAATCCAATATGAATGAGTGTATATTTAGAGGCAAACACCATAGTGCGGGTATTACTGTCTCATGACAGCATCTAGTTACAATTTTTAATTGGAAGCTTATAAGAGTCAATTTAAACATGTAACATTGAAAATGTATAGTGTTTGGTAATTCTTTACATGTAGTAGTGCTTTATATAATTATGTTATTTTTCTACTTTTCCGTGACAAATAAACTTTTTTCTTTGTCCAAATGAACCACAGAAAGCGCAGTACAGTTAAGGTGCGCAATGGAAACATTGACTATATTTTGTATTTAAAAATGTATTCATAATCGTGATGGCGATTATTTTTAGTACATTATTTATATCGGATAATTGTAATTATGATTAATAACTAAATATTGAGGACAATTATATTTTAAATTCAGACTAGTCGCATGATGCGGCAGTCACGTGGTGTTAGCACATTTACCTGCAGTATTGAAGTTACAGATAAATATCACTAGTGCAAGGGCATAACAAAGTTAAATTTCCAAATTTAGCATTGTAGTTTCTAAAAAGTGCTGTGATCCTCTCTAAATTCTGCAATTTCATTGTTGAAATTATATTTGTAATGCTATATTTTTTGCTGGACAACGGCATGATTGATTGATTGTATATTGTTTAACGCCCCTCTCGAGAATTTTTCACTCATATGGAGACGTCACCGTTTTGCCGGTGAAGGTCTTCAAATTTAGACGTATACTCGGCACTCAGGGCCATTGAGCAGTGAGGGTTCTTTATCGTGCCAGCGCCTACCGGGTCAGCGGCATGAAATATTGATATCATTGAATTGTTTTTAAGATTTCATCAGGATCGCAGCACTTTTTAGATACCTTAATTCTAGAGTTGAATTGTAAAAGCTTACTTTGATCTATAGAGTGTATGCCCTTACACTCGATCGATTTATTAAGACCCCCCACATTACCCTCCGATGTGCTTGCATACAAATATACGACAGTGTCAATTAAATACGCAATGTACAGAAAATATATTAATAAATATATTAATAAAATAGTGAAGAAGACATTAAATTCAAGTTATTGGCCAAAGGATATATGTAAATAATATTTTATTCAAGGTAGTACAAAACACCTCTGGATTTTAGTTTTACTAGTTTCTTAAAAAATGCTGGAGAAAGAAAGAATAATATTACTACATTGACAACATAAAATGATCCCTGGAGGAAAAATAATAAGATATTGCATTTTGTGAAAAAATCAGAGAATCCTATATGTTGGTCACTTGGGAGATTACATTTTGGAACGTGTTTACGCTATCTAAGTGCAATAAACAAGCATGTAACTGTCTGATATAAAATGCAGTGTAACTTTTGTTCAATAAATAGTGGAGGGATGATATTTGGACACACATATAAGGAGTCTCCGTTCTCTGTGTACTTTAAAGGTCAAGGTCATATCAAGAGGTCTAAGGTCAAATATTGTGACGTAATCTACTGAATCTTTTATTTTTTTGCCGTTCAATTTTTTTAATCGCTAAAATATCAGAAACTACCGGTGTTGTATAGTAGTTTTTCCCCCATAGTAGCTTTTCCCCCCGGAAAACTGGCTATATAGTAGTTTTTCCCCCTAGGGAGAAAAGCTACTACATAGCAGATTTTCCCCCATAGTAGGGTTTCCCCCTAACGTTTTTGGTTTAGATTTTTGAAAATTGTTTATGGAAAGCTGATTAGGCTTTAAATCGATGTTTTGAACAGTGACTGAAGTACGTTACATATATGTACTTGCATACATTAATGAACGAAAAAGTGTTTATTGTCAACTGTATAAACGTAAAGAATTTATCATACAGGCAATTCATCGAACTACTTGGATACTATATTTAAAACTTAAATTATACAACGTACATGAATTATATATTTCAAATACATGTATACACGTGCTATGAATTTAAGGACTTTTTTTCCCTTTTTTAACTAAATTTAATTTTTTATGTGAAACAAAATCTTCTGACATTGTCTTTGTTATAAACATGTGTCAGCCAAAAGATCCATAGTGCACGCTGATAGCGAACGCGCTTATAATGAATATTGACGCTTACAGCAAAGTGATTTTAATTCCCAATGACTTTAAAATATATTGTAATCGTAACAGATATAACGAATTACGGTTATAACAAAGCAAAATCCTTCATCCCTGGCACTTTGTTATAAGCGTGTCTTACCGAACTTTTATGTTGTAAGACAATTTCCTTATCGTAATGGATTGATTTCATAACAAAAAGAAATGTCAGTTAATTACGTGTCGGTGATAATCAATGTCTTTTCAAATACGCATGTATTGCGAATTATTACAAAGAATGGTCCTCCATAAACTTAACCGGAATGAAAAAAAGGGGGGAAAATCTACTATATAGTAGGTTTTCCCTGGGGGTAATCTGGCTATAAAAGAGGGGAAATCCCACTATATAGCCATCTTTCCATGGGGGAAAATCTACTATATAGCCATTTTCCCGGGGGAAAACTACTATACAGCCATGTCTCCGGGGGAAAGATGGCTAGGGGGAAAGGCTACTATACAACACCGGTTCAATTTTCTTTATTTTTACACATTTTATTCTGGGTCCCATTTAATCATTCTGTTTGCAAAGATTGAATTATACATTTTTTATTTAGAAAACTTTAAGTGTAGGATATTTACATGTGAATTTTCAATTCCGAAGCTATGTATGTTCTATTTTTACTTAATAGTTTTCTCAAATGGTCCAGTATCAATATGACTAACTAAGTTAAAGTAACAAAAAGGTTACTTATCTTTATCAAAATTATAACATAAACTTGCAAAAGATCAATTGGTAATTCTAAAATAAGGCTCATTCTCAAGTCGAGTGTCTGATTTCTTCACAAGCTTCTTACAGGGGTCTGATAGGCCAAATTTCAGACAATGTGGGCAAAATATGTGCGGTTGAATTTCTTTCATATTATATATTAAGAGAGATTTTGTATCCTAGAAAAAAATATCAAAGTTTCAGAAAAATTTAATTTGAGGAAAAATTTAGCCTATCTATTGTGTCCTACCTTAATTAGAGAATACATATTTTGTTGAGAAAACATTACTTGATCTGTTTCTCGTTGCATACAAACTGAGTCACGTTTTAAGAAATGACGTAATATTGACAAGTGTATTGCGATCAGTGACTTGTTTATAACTTGTTATTTTGGATTTAACTAACTAAATAACAGCAAGCTGTATCAAGTTTTTATGTAGTTAGATGAATGATTACTCGTTAAATTAGCAAATCAACTCATTTTGTGGTATCTTAAAGAAATGTTGTATGATGTATATTTTGTATGATGTCATAGTCAAGTTTTCCCGTACAAATTAGGTCCCGCCTCCTTTTTGTAACTTTAACAGTGCTGCGAGCTCGGGTGATATGACATTTTTAAAAAAATTGTCATTTGTCATTAACTTTTAGTGCTCTATCTGTCTGTCTGTCTGTCTTTTTATCCCATGATTACCCCTTTATCCCGTTGATATAGCTTATGTGATATCGTTTTCGTATCCCACAGTGACGTCACAGTGGATTTTGTGTTAGCGTAATGAAATAAAATAAAGTGGAGTCCTCATCTGTTTTCATTTAAAGTCTCCTAAGGTGTCATGACACCATCCGAATCTAACTGAACTGCTCTCCGGAGCGCCATAACGTCATTAATAATTGCCATTTTTTGGCGTTTTGTGTTTACCACTTTCTTAGTTGCTCGGGAAATGCCAAATGCCTTGAAATGTTTTTTATAAAGATGACAAAATTGATCAAGGAATCGAATTATGATAATTTTCATCCCAATCTAATGTATTGAAAACTTTTATTACGAATTAATTCTTGTGTATTCTCTAAATTAAATATAACCTACAATGATGATTATGTTACTATGAAAACTTTGATTTACTACGGTAACGTACATATAGGGCAGCGAGAAATTCATTCAAACTCTGAGAATATATTTTTGGTCCTTTTAGACATGTAAAATGTAAATATACAGGAATGTTTTTAAGTTTTTTGTGAAATATGTAGGTGTGTAAATCACACAGACTTGTCACGTCTAGGCATATGAAAAATTATTTTCTTTTAACTTTTTTTTATTTTATTTTATATCTATACAGTTTAGCATTTTGAGATTTACTTTTTTGCTTACAGAAATTACAGAAATTCAACAATGGTAAGGAAATACAACTTTAAGTCAAGGAGACGAAATCCTACAATGTTTCCTTATTTCTGTGAAATATGCAAACCCCAACGTCGCTTTGCGAAAACGTTTGACAAGGGTATGCATGACAGTATGAAGCACGGTGAGGCAATTGGAACAACAAGTACACTTTATTCGAGGGATCTAAACTTACCTACTTATAGCAGTAGTCAGAGTACCCAAGCATACTCATCAAGTTATTCTCTTAGCACAATATCAGCAAATGAACTTCAAACCTTTGCTACCAATGAAATAGAACCTGACACAGCCTACAATTCCAGTTGTAAAGCAGTAGTACACCGTCTTTGCTTCTTTATGCAGAACAACTTTCCAGATGAAATGAGGCCATCTGAAGTGATCAAAGTGAGCGTATATAATTCTTAATATAAAACGCTTATTTCAGTATTTTAACATCGTATGAATCGAACTATTTATAATAGAAAAATATTACTGTACATCTAACTATTCGGCACAACTTATATCCGTCAGATATGATAAATCAGTGACTATTTGATTAAGTTTATTACACTCTAAACAATCATTTAAATGGATCGCAACACAGTATTTTTTCCACAAAAAATCAAATTTGCAAAACTCGAATATAAATTCACAAAAGAATAAAAGGTTGTTTACAATATTATGCTATTCATATATTTTATTCGTAGAGTGGTTCGCTTGGAAAAGGCACGGCAGTCAAAGGAAAATCAGATGCAGATCTTGTTGTTTTCCTGTCTAGCTTTCATTCGATTTCGCAGCTGTACGCCTCTTTGCCATCAATTTTACAAAGAATGAAACTGTACCTCGACAAGTACGGTCATTGTACCATAGAGAAAACAACATCCCACGCCGTTAAAGTGTCCTTATCATGTCATGCTGGACATACCCATGATGTGGATATACTACCAAGTGTCAACATATTGAGTAAAAGTTAGTATTAACTGAACGAGAAATATGAACTTTTTATTTATGTCCAAGGACAAGGGCATTTTGGAGTCATTTTTCAAAATTCTTATAGATTTTTTTTATATACAATACAATGTAGTAAAATAACTATAGAAAAAAAAACAATTTAATGTAATGTACATCATGCTTCTTTAGTAAAAAAAACAAACAAACAGAATAAGACATGTTTAAAGGAATTATTTCCTTAAAATGTAGATTCAAAAACAGCAATATATTCAACCATGAAGTCTGAGTCACCAAAGATGAGAGAATACTACTCTGCTGCTCTAGCACCACTACAAATTTCATTTGTTTCGAACATTCCTACAAAAGTGAAAACCCTCATTCGTTTGATCAAATACTGGAGGAAAACTTTCTTTGAAGTAAGATTATATGTCATTCTACAATCTCGATTTTTCTACAAGTTCTGTTTTAATTTGAAAAAAAAAGAAATTTTCAACATCATTTCAATTGACAGGAAAGCAGTTCACGAAGCTTGCCGACCTCCTATCCTCTGGAGCTTATAACAATTGGAGAGTGGGGAGACGCTGGGAGACCACAGAACTTTGATTTACGGAAAGGCTTCTACCATGTATTAAGAGCAATTGCAAACTACACGAAGCTTAAGCATGCATGGAATACAAATTATAATTTTGATAATTTTAAATGGTAACTTGTTTTTTTTTTATTTAGACCTTCATAGACATTTAATGAGAAATCATTATAACCCCAATTGTTAAAATGTTGATTAATATTCATCTAGTAGAGTGCAACCTTATTGTAATGCAAATGTAAATAATACAAAGTGATCATGAATAATAATACTTTGTCTACAGGCCATTGCTATCTTCATCATGCAATATACTAGTAACTTCTTGCATTTTCAGTTACGATTCCTACTATGTTATGGATCCAGCAAATCCGTTCAACAATGTTATGAAGAAGTGTGACTGTTGGAGCATGGTGGCAGAAAAAACAAATCAGTTTCTTACCAAACCGCTGTTCTACGGCCTTTCAGGTTATGATGGCTGGAATTAAAGGAGATATATTTTTGAATCACTAAACTAATTTTCTATATTAGACTGCATGTTTAGTTTAAGGAGGAATGCCACACCAACTTTTTATTCTATACAGTAGATCTCTAAGTCAACCTTTTTAAGCAATGGTTTCAGTATTGAAAGGACGACATCAGCTCTTAATTATTTTTATGATTTTTTTTTTGTATCTTTTTAAAAAAATATTGCTGTAAATGAATGCATCACATTAATATCTAATAAAATATGTGAAGAAGTCGTATAGATATTAAAAATTTTAAAATAAAAAATATTTATGAGAATAAAACACATAATTCGTGAATGTTTTTTTTGAATTTGTGGTTAAAAATCTTTTTAAAACCAGTAACAACCACTGCAGGGTTCTCCACATTTGAAAATTTAACCATGGAGAAAGCTGCGCGTAGGCGAAATATGGCCGAAAACACAAATGCGTCTTAGACTTCCTAATCTTTATTAATCAGTGATTGACAATTTTTAAACATACCCAATACAATACAAAACAATGAAATAACTAACACTTTTTAAAGTGAAAAAAATAATAATCAAAATTTTGGTGTTTTTAACCATTGGTTAAAAAATATTCACAAATAATATGTTTTATTTTCATAAATAATTTTTTATAAAAAAAATTAAAAAGTCTAACCAGTCTTTCTTTACATATTTTATTGGATATTCATATGATGCATTCATTTACAGCAAACGTATAAATCGAAAACTACTTATTTGGATAGAAATAATTTTTTTCATTTCCTTTGAAAAAATACTAAAAAAATTAATTTAAAATAATTAAGAGCTAATATCGGTCTTTCAATGTTGAAACCATTGTTTAAAAAGGATGACTCAAAGATCTATAAAATAAAAAGTTGGTGTGGCATTCCACCTTAAAATTCTTTGTATGCTTAAAGATCATGAAAATGGGTAAAAAAAAAACACACTTTGGACGAATATCGAGAAACATTTATTTGCGTAAATTTGTAGTTTTTCTGAAATAACTTGAAATATTTCTTTACATATATATTTACATATATTACTTGGGTTTTCTTATTTTAGCAGCTTGTTATCAGCATAACTAATTACACCGAGATTTTCAATTTGGTGCATTTTAAGCAACTTTTCTCCTTCCTTTTTCATCCCTCCAAAATATATTTTCCCTAGTCAAAATATATTTATTAATATCTATACAACGTTAAATTAACAAAATAAAATAACCATTCTTTGCATGTGTTCCAAGATCGTTCTAAAAGTGTATAGAAGAGTATGGAGACTTGTGTTCCGATGAGTATACAAACCAATATTCTCTAAAGCATCATATTGACAATATATCATTAACATAATATTGTCAATCAAAAACGTAAGCCTGGACTTTAAATTATTGTGGGGAATGGTTGTGCATAAAGTTGAAAAATTGGTACAATCTTGTGATTTCAAATTTTCCAAAAAGTCTTTGGAATGTTTAAGTGTCCACATCTGATTTACACTACCTATGGAAGAAGAAATGGAGATATCGAACAGTATTCAATATCAAAGTCCATAATACAATACAAAATAGGAGCTCAGCACACGGACCTCCAAAACATCATATGTAAGATCAGGTGCCAGGGAGGAGTGAGTATCCCCTGCTGACCGGTCACACCTGCCGTGTACTTCTTGTCATGATCGGGAAATAGCGGTAAAAATCTTCGTCTAATTAGTGTATAAATAATGGACTAACAATTAGTATGAAAACCGTCAGTCAGCATTTGACTCAATGAAAAACTGTTTTTGTTGAAAATGTCATTGTATCGACCATAGAACTTACGGAATATTCTTGCACAGTACTCTTGAAGTTTCTCCATCAGTATTGTTCATTTCGCAATGAGGGGTAAAGAAAGAGGCTTGGTTGAACATTTACTGTGTATTCTTGATTTGTTTGACTGTATGGATTTTAATGACGTTTATGAAACCAAATGAATATATAGACATGGCAATTCAATTTACATCTGTAGTTGTTTGAAATAATAAAGATTTTTAAAACTGACATATGATATTAGAATTTTTTTTCCTAAAAAAGGAAACTTTGAGTTTAAGTTGGATAACCACTTCTAGAATTAAGTCAAAGTTCTTCTAGAATAAATTTTTATAATGAGTCTTACAAACAAAAAGAATGTGTTACCTGCTTTGTAAAACAGGAACCAGAACTTGATGATCATGTAATATATCTAATTCTTTTTTCTCTCCTGGAATATTGAGAAATTTCTTGTGCTTTGAAATGCTGAATAAAATTATAAAAGGATGTTTCAACTCGCATTAAGTTATTGAGAGGCAATATGAAAACCATCTATCCTTTTGTATTTCAAAATGTATAATTAATACAGAAATTAGGTAATTACAAGATCTGTTCCTACTGGTCCCACCTGAAAAAATTAAAACATTGCTTTCATTTGTATGGCTGATTATTTGGAAAAAATATTATATTGTAATTTGCAAGTATTTCATTCTTCAAGTGGTTATTCAACATATACCAATAGCTCACTTTATAATAAAAGAAGTCTATCAAAATCATATGTTAGTTAAAATGTTTTAAATTCTCCCTAAAATCACAATGGATTTGAATTAAGATACCCTTGTTTGACGCCAAAACTCCACAACAATCCTTACAAAGATACCGAGCGGGTTCGAAAGTGATTACCTAGACTTTTTCTTTATCCCTTACTATATTAACTGCAGAGAAAGAGAGATAGTGCACACCATAATATTTTAGGATTAGTGTATGTATTATTCAGTATCGTAAATAGTAAACTTTCGTACAAATAATGTGACGGAAATTTGCAGATACATGTAGTTGATAATACTTCCTTCATTAACTAATAAAAAAATAAAATAGAGAGATTGAGGAAATTCTTCTTTTCATTAAGTGTAGATAATGGTTTGAAATTAATTACAATTCCCCCTTTTTTTTTTTTACTTTTATTACACATGGAATACCTGAAGTTGGGCACAAATCGTGGAATAGATGAAGACTATAGAATCAAATTTTTAAGTAGTGATAAATAAAAACATATCTTTTGAATTCATAAACTTCTTTGAAACAGAAGGTCATGAGTACTAAATTCAAAACCCAAATATTACCAGATTGTTCAGATGTTTGCCCGGTTTTCAGGAAAACATTTGGAATCTAATGCTTAAGTTTGAATATGTACGTAAGTGTAAATATTCTTTGTCAGAGCAAAGCATTATTTATAATTTATTTTATTATATGATAAATAATTTCCATCTCTCTGATTGGCTGAGATCCAACTATGTTAGAAAATACTACGTTGTATTGAACTGCACATGACGTTATTTCCTCTACATTGATCTAAAAATAGATCGGGAGAATCCAAATGGATACAAATTGTTTTGGAAAGCTATTCAAACGACTATGACCTTTTTTTTTCATGTGAACACAACAAGGGCAAATGTATTTTCGAGTGAGGGTGGTAAGAGGGGATGCAGGGACCCCCTCAAACTTTTAATAAACAGCATTTTTTTCCTACTTTTTGGCAGTCAGTTTTTCCTGATAATACTTCTTCCTTTCAAAATCAATCATATAAAAAAGACTGACATTATATTTTTTTCATGGCTACTAAACTTGATTTAAAAAATTTCAAATTGATACGATTGGTAAGCTTTATTTACATTTTAATTCTGCTTCTCTATTGTTTTTGGCTAGGACTAAATTAAATGCAAAGATTTAATAAGCTGTATCATTTTATCCGTGAATCATATAATAAAACAATTATTGCTGTTTTTTTCGGTCATTACAATGATTTAGCCATCTTCGGGCTCGGTGAATATCGTACTCCTCAGATGGCTAAATAATTGTATTGACCTCAAAAAGCAGCAATAATTGTATATTATTATATGATTCAATGATAAAATGATACAGTTTAATACTTATTTGCATTTAGTTTTAGCCAAATACAAGAGAAAAACAGAATTAAAATGTAAATAAACCTTACCAGTCGTATTAATTTGAAATATTTTTATCAATTTTAATTGCCGTGAAAAAAATAATATAAAGTGCATGTCAGTCTTCTTAATAGGATAGATTTTGAAAGGAAGGAGTATTATCTGGGAAAACTGACTGTCAAAAAGAAAATATTGTTGTTCAGTAAGTGTCGGAGGGGGTCCCTGTATCCCCTCTTACCACCCTTACCTGAAAATATATATTTTCTTATGTTTTGTTCATATGAAAAAAAGTCATAGTCGTTTAAATAGCTTTCCAAAACAATTTGTTTCAATTTGGATGTATTTTTAGATCAATGTAGAGGTAATAAATCCTTGTATTCACCTGGAACGTCACATGCAGGTCAATACAACGTAATATTTTTCTAACATATTTGGATCTCAGCCAATCAGAGACATAGAAATTATTCAATCATATACTAATATTAATTGTTTTATGCCTTAACAGTGAATGAAATACGGCATCTTTATCATTAAAGATCTATCAATGTCATATTTACATATCTCTCTATCAAATGTTATGCTTTAGAACGTGATAACAAATTGATAAACCATTGGGAGAAGTACAGACTTGGCTGCTTTGAAATTTGAATATCGGAGGCAAAATCCTAAAATATTTCCTTTTGCCTGTATGTTGATCCAGGTGTGATTTTTCCTTAAAACGGCATTGTGGCTGGCATTTTTACAGGCAAAAGGAAACATTTTAGTATTCAATAAATAAGGCTCAGGCATAATTATCCAATTAATGACTTATATACGTCCAATATTGTTTGAATCATAATATTTTAAATATCAAACTTCAGTATTTATTAAATTATTATTTTTTATATACAAATTTAACCTAATTCCTTGGTGAACTCTTGAAATGAACAAAAAGATATAGGTGTATTATCTGGACATAAAGGAACTAGATCATATATAAGATCATTTTGGCAGAGTTCCAGTAGATTAGATCACATGAAGATATTTTCCACATCGTTTCTTTGGTCTCAATGTTAATGATCTCTTCATTAACTTGTCCATTTAAACAGTGTGCCATTTATTGTATGCTGACAAATTATAAAAAAAAAATCACGGTATAAAATTCATTCCTATTTTTGTTTCTGAATGTTAGAGAT